CAAATGGTTTAGGCTTTGAAGACTGTGCAGCTCATCAGCTCTGCTGTTGTTGTGGGCAAAGAGTCATCAGAGATGTGTAAGCAAGTGGACACTGATGTGTGTCAGTAAAACTCTATTTATAAAATGAGACAGATGTCTTGTGCTGACCCTAGGCTATACTATTAACATTGACTTATTAATACTATAAATATTAGTTACAGATACTAATTATAGATACTATAATTATAGTTATAGAGACTGTCTAGCATAGTTTGTTAGAATTCACTAATGAAAAAAACCCAGTGATTCAGATTATTCAATATAATTTTATGAGTTTGACCATCATTACTCAAAGTCCATGACAGTGAAATAGCTTTTTTCCCCATATGTAATTCTTTTTTTATTGTTGTTTTTTGGAGGAAAAAAAACAATTCTCTTTGTGCTATATCTCATGTAAAAGTTGAGCCATTCATTGTTAGGCATTTCTGGAACTAAACAGCATCAGACTAGACATTTTTTTAAACTGTGAGAAAAGCAAGATGTAAAATCACACATTTTATTGGAAAACATGCAGAAACAGAGCCGTGATCATGGAGAAAAGTGCCACAGAATGGAGATTGTCCCCAGGCTGGGGACCTCAACTCAGAATGGGATAATCTGATAGAATTTCCACCCAGCGTCGAGTTCTCTGTGTCCACCTGTGTGGAACCGACCATCGAGATGTCTCCGCACCTTCTAGCTCCACGGCAGACTCCCACTGGGACCCCGCTGTGTGCAGCATGCACCCCGATCTCACACCACTCACAGAAACTAGCTCAGGATGGACAAAAGCCTTAAATGTAAGATCTGAAACCATAAGCCTCCCTGAAGGGAACACAGAGAGAAGCTCCTTGGTGTTGGTCCTGGCAGCGTTTTTTTGCATGTGATACCAAACACACAGGCATAAAATGGAAAATAAATGAACGGGACTCCACCGGACTTTCCGCACCGTTAAGGGAGCCATCCGCAAAATGAAAAGACAACCCACAGAGTGGGAAGCAGTATCTTGTAGCCACCTGTCTGATAAGGGGTTCATGTAAATACACATAAGGGGCTCACACAACTTAATAGCAAAACGACAACAATCCAGTAAACATGGCCAGGGGCTCTGAACAGCCATTTCCCCGGAGATAAAACCAGGGGCTACCAGTGAATGAAAAGGCATCACCAACCAGGAGGAAGAGGGGAGTCCAAGCCACCGTGAGACATCCCTTCACACCTGCCAGAAGGCTGTTGTCAAACAGCCAGGAGATGAGCATTGGCACCTGTGTGTGGAGACCAGGAGACCCCTGTGCACTCTGGTGAGAAGGCAGATTGGTGCAGCTGCTGTGGAACACAGCGTGGAGTTTCCCCCCCAATTACAAATATAACTACCGAATGACCCAGCAATTCTCCCTCTGGTATATGTCCGAGGGAAGTGAAGTCCCCGTCTTAAAGAGATATCTCACTTTGACGTTCATTGAAGCATTATCCGCAACAGCCCAAACACGAAGACAACCCAAGTGTCCGCTGACCGACCAGTGGATGGAAAAAAACAAGGTATATATATGCACGATGGAGTATTATTCAGTCATTCAAAACTAAGGAGATCCTGCCGAGTACAACGAGAGGGCGGAGCCCGAGTGCGTTAGGCTGAGTGAATTAGAGCAGAGGAAGGCACATGCTGTGTGACGCCACATGTGTGAAACCACGTGTGTGGGGCCTCAACCGGGAACGTCATTCTCCAGCGAGCAGAGTGGTCGTTGCTGGGGTTGGGGAGAGGGGACTGGGGAGATGCTGCAAAGGACAGGAGCCTGCAGTTGTCACGTGAACAATTTCTGGGGACCTGATGTGCAACAAGGTGACTCTAGTTAACGAGACCAATCGTACTGTGTTACAAACTTGAGAGCTACTAAGAGAGTAGTAGATCTTAAACGTTCCCATCACATGCACAAAAAGGTGATTCTGTGAGGTGATGGAGGTGTGAGCCAACCTTACTGTGTTAATAATTTTGTGGTCTCTACCTGTATGGAACGATGATACTGTGCTCCTTGGACTTACACAATGTTCTACGTCAATTCTATCTCAATAAGTTGGCAGTGGGGTGGGGGGAGACTTTGCATTTCATTCAGGAGAACGGGGAGCTGTTGAGAGATTTGGACCAGGGAGGTGACATAAAACGACTTACACGTCGAAATGGTCACCTTGGCAGATTGGCCGAGAGAGCATGAGGATGGGAGCAGGAAAACTGGGTGCGGGGCCACCGCAGGAGTCCGCGAGGAGGCGGAGCCGTTGCTCGCAGGTGGGAAGAGGTGCGAGTCCCGTTCTAAGGCAGACACCGACAGTGTTTGCCGACCGTCTGTAAGAGGAAGCGAGGAGTCGAGGGTGAAAGGCGTTGTTCCGACCGGTGTCCTCCCACCGGTCATTGTCGTCTGTGGCCACACATGAGCGGGTTATGCCCATTTTGTCCTGGGTTTCTACTTTCTTCTCTGTTACTGAATTGTTCCCCACCAGAGACTCTGGTCAGGCTTTGAAAAACCGAGAGTGAGTCATTCATTCTGAGAGTTTAGGAAATTGCCTGTCAAGATGCTAAAACCGAAATCCAGCCTCTGGCCAGACCATTGATTTGACTGACAAAATAAGGGGAAGCCACAGACAGGCGCGGTTCCAGGTTTCCCATGTGCGGATGGTCTCCCTTCCCTTCAGGTGCGGTCCCCACAGCTTCGGGGGCCCAGGAGGGATTCACTCATTCAGAGACCGTTAGGTGAGTGACTACTGGCTAGCAGACATTCGGTTAGTGCCGGGGACCAGGGGGCACAAGGCATGTCCTCCTCTCTGGTGGGAGGTGCAGAGACGTCATCGAGTTGGGGGATCAAATCCGATTAGCGATGGGACAGGGGTGGGGACACAGGTCCTTGGGGACAGAGGATGTCACAAGCAAATATTATCTAGAGGATTCAGGAGAGCTGGTAGGAGTGGACCAGTGTGCAGTTAACACTTCCGGAGCTGGGGCGGGGTCCGAGGCCCCGGAGGCGGTACGGCTGGGGGAGGCTATGAACAAGGATGGCCCATGTGGTCGGCCGCATGCACCTTGGTTCCGACCAGAGGTTTGGAAGTGTCAAAGGCAAAGCAGTGAACAGTCTTGTGTGTGACTAGGGAAGAGTGGAGATAAAACCCATGGGTAGTGGGACTTTCTGAAAGGGGAACAAGACAATGCCATAGGCCCTGGAGTGGTCCCCTGGCAACGTAGCAGAGAGCAGGTTGGACAGGGAGGTGACCTGGGGCAGGGAGACCCGTTGGCCTCTGGCACTGGTCCTGGCAAGGGGTGGTGAGCGCCTGCCTTGGTCCGTGTGGAGAGAGAAGGAGACAGGTCCGCTTAGCGCAGGTTGGTTGACATTGGCAGGTGGGTGCATTGGCAGCGAGTCTGAGGTGGCCCTGGGGACTTGTGTTTGGAAATCGGGGCGAGGGTAGCACATCGCTCCCCGTGAAGGAGCGTCGTCTCAGGTCGAGAGAACTGAAGGCCGCCTGGAAGTCCAGAAGGGAGTCTGGCTGGGAAGTGAAGTTCCCTTCGTGGAAAATCTCTTAGACACTAACCTGTCATCTTTACAGAAATGCAGGGGTTTGTTCTCCTGTCCCTAATAGCAATGGCAAAAACTCTTAGCTGTACTTATATTGAATAAGAATGTTTTTTCATATTCGTGATAGTGTTGGCAAAATCTTTTTAGCTATACACATAATTAAGAAATACATTTTAGCCCTGGCTGGTGTGGCTCAATGGATTGAGTGCCAGCCTGTGAAACAAAGGGTTGCTGGTTCAATTCCCAGTCAGGGCACGTGCCTGGGTTGTAGGCCAGGTCCCCAGTAGGGGGCGTGCAAGAGGCAACCACACACAGATGTTTCTCTCCCTGTCTCTCCCTACTTTCCCATCTCTCTAAAAGTACATAAAAATAAAATCTTAAAAAAAAGAAGTACATTTTATAGATATCTATGCGAAACAAACCAGGACCAAAAAAAAAAAAAAAAAAGACAAGTGGAGGGCCAGGGAGTTTGTGCAGTAACCGACCCGCAAACCCTGCAGAGGTGTTGCATATTTAAGCTGCTGTAGGTTTGGGGGGACTCCATGCCAATATGTAGCAAGAGCTGTGAAGACGGACGTACCGTTTTGCTCAGTCCTGGTTATCAAGGGGAAACGGCTCGTGTCTGGTATGGACAGTGTGCCTTGTAGATGGGACGGATACAGCAAGTTCAAAGGGTGTGGCTTAATGGGTCTGTGTGTGTTTCTGCTCACGGAAGGAGTTACCTTGACATGTGTAATTGTCACAATGCCACAAACATAGGTTTACCCGTAGAGACTCACGGGAAAAACATGGAGAATGAAGACTCAGAACGGTACATTACAGACAATTCTGTCTCCCTCGTTCTCGCCAAAGTAATGTTCATGTCAGGACAACTTCCCCGAAGCTGTTTAGAAGGTATACATGTATAAAGTTGACGTGCAGGAAGTGCGCCCCCAGACGTGCTCCAAACGCTGTGATTTTAATGTCTCTCGAGTCCCTGGGGAGGGCGGTGAACGTGAACAAGGGACGAGGAGGGAAGTGAGACGGAGCAGAAGACAAAGGCAGGAGCAGTGGGGGGTGGCAGCTGTGTCCCTTCCCCTCCAGAAGGGGGTCACCGTGCGTGGTCTCAGGGCCTGTGATCCCTGCCAGTGGAAACCTCATGTCACAGCCAGCGTCATGTGACATAGGAGGGAACTGAGGACCACCGTGACCACCTTTCCTTTACACCGTCCGCACGCTGGGGACAGTGACAGGGCCCGGGGCCCGTCTGCAGGAGCAGCGGAAGATTTGAGCTGAGGCTGGTGGCAGCAGAGGAGACAACCGCATCTGTTGTACCCATAAGGTTGCTTTCACTGGTGCATTAACCACAGGTGAAGAGGAAAAGGCCACAGGGGGCGGGGTTCGCATGAGTAGGGGAATTTTTTTTTCAAAAAAGAAAAAGCATCAACGTTGCAAAGACTTTCCACGATTGCACACCCACCTCAGGAGCCCCCTCATACCACAGGAAGTGCATTGATCATCGTCGGGATAAAAGAGACTCGGCAGCACCAGAAGCTCATCCTCTCTTGGCTCAGCCCAGCTCAGCCCAGCTCAGCCCAGCTCAGCCCAGCAGCACCGCAGCCATGCGAGCTCTAGTCCTGGCCCTCCTTGGCATCTGCTGCCTCACCACCCATGTCGTGGAAGGTAAGTCAAAAGGCTGTTCCTGGGATAAGGAGCAGATAGGCAGGCAGGTGGGCATACGGTTTGATTTGGACTCAGGCTTTGGCTGGAGTAGAATGCTTTCCCCAAGGCAAGCCTCGGACTTCCCATGTGCAAAATGGGAATGATGACTGCGACTCTAGGGGACCTTGAGGCTTCCAAAGACAGAACTTGGCCTCCTTTTCCTAATCAGGTGTTTTGGGATAAATCTCTTCATCTCTCTGGGCCTAGACTTAGTTACCTGTAGATTGACTACAGTAACAGATACTCTCCCCTGGGCTCAAAAGGAATTCAGTCTGAGGATCGCTTAGCAGATTCTTGATTAATGTTAGCTGGCAGACAGTGGGACAGCTGTCATGCCTCAGTCGCTTTGGCCTGTGCTATACCGGTCTTGGTAAAGTCTCCAAAGCTTTGAGAGTCCAGGCACATGTTGGGGTGAGGCAGAGGGGGTACGTTCAGGAGTAAATCGGTGTTTGCTGTTGACCAGAAACACTGGAAGCACGCACCTCCCTACGAGGAAATCAACACCACCTTCAAGTTCATGGGAGGATTTACGATCACTGTTCTGAATGCTGCTCCCGTCTACGATAAATATCCTGAGGTTGTGAGAGACCATGTGGGATAAGTGCTGAGCAGTAGACTGATGTCTGATGTGCAGTCACACAAATCTGTAGGAGGCTCCCAGGAGACGAGCTACCCTGAGCCTTCCCTGCGTGTTCTAGCCGAGTTTCCTGGAGGATTTTTTTCTCCCGACTGTGGCTTGGGATCAGGAGACACTGTCCTTTGGGTGTCATTCCTGTGGCAGCGAACTCTGCTCACTGCCTCCTCATTGGCAGACTTGTTATCGAGACGGCAGATTCTCTGATCACAGATCCCGAAGGGTGTTCATGACTACAGGTGGCAAAGTCAGGAACTCCCAGTAATTGTGGGCAAAATGAAAACTGTTGAGGAGACCCAAAAAGTGTAAGACAAGTATGTGAGGCCCCATCTGGCAGTGCAGCTGGCATTCGGCTGTCCCCATAGACAGGCCACTTGGCTGGCATCCTGGGGTTGGGAAAGGAGATGGTGCTCCACTGGAGACCGAGGAGCAGCTCGGACTCCGGGCTCCGATTCCCCAGTTTTCTGCTTCAGCGACCCCCTCGTGTCCCGCTGGCCTGAGCCGCTTATGCGCAACCAGGGAGCGAGGCAATTTGAGCTTTGAGTCAGCTCTGCCGGTGGTGACACAGTGACGTCTTCCCCCGTAACGCAGACATGCACATGTGGCTGAGACTCAGGAGGCTCAGGGATTTAGATGCCAGTCGGGTTCTCTGGGTCTGGGGGTTCCTCGTAGGCTATTCCCCAGAGAAAATGTTGTTTCTGAAGTAGACACATTGGGTTCAGAGGCAGTTCAGTATTGAAGAGTAAATTGGGGAGATGGGAAGGCGGAGAGGGAAGGGGCCAGGTTGGCGGGCACCTTCGGTCTGGCCCCATGGCTTCCAGAGAGCCCCCTGGTACCAGCCGCACTGTAGGTCAAACTTGCCCTCCCCTTTGGTGTTCCTTGCATGCTTTTTAGCTGAATATTTCCCTGCGAAGCAAATGCCAGTCTCTTCAGTTTAGGAGAAAATCCGGACTTAGAAACCTTTACCAAACCCTCAGTAGCATTGACTCTCCCAAGTTCTTTTTCCTTCTGACTCACGTAAGATGGCTCCCCAGATGGAAACGTCTGGTTCCCTGTGGGCCTTTTCTGTCCAGGACGAATTCCTATGAGCTGCTTCCTCTCTGGCCCTCGCATTTCAGTGTCTGACACGAGAGCGCCTCACTTCATTCCGTCCCAAACAGGAGGTCTCCCCGCTGTTGAGTGTCGCCTTCCTCAGGCTGCCCCTCCTCACCCGACTCCTTGCTGTTTTATTTGTAACGCTATCGGGTCTGCGCTGCTCAAAACGACATTTCATTTCTCGGTCTGCCTGATTTTCCTCGCCAGGTGTGGGAAGTGAAGTCCTGGAGCAGAGAATCTGTGTGAGTCTGACGTCCCGGCGCCTGCCCGTGCGAAACATCAAGACCTACACCATCCGGGAGGGGCCCGTGCGCGCAGTTATGTGAGTTTTTGTCCCCGGAGCCGGGGCCCGGGACCTCAGCACAGGGAGCCGCTGCCCTGCTCAGGGAAGATGGGTCCACACGGGTGGAGCGAGCCCTGCACTGACCCAGCAGCCCCCTTGTTTTCGTACCCACCGTGCCTTTGCCCAGCACCACGTAAGGGCTGTGGCAGACACGGGGCAGCCGGATAGAGAACATTCTCCTTTCCGATGTAGCTGAGACGGAAACTCTGATGGGAACCAGAGGAACACTGTGCCCATCCGGAGGGCGGGGCTCAGGGAGGGCCGGTTCAGGTCGGATTTGACCCTGAGCCACCCCCGCGTGGAAATCTGCCCCCCCCCACCTTTCAGAGGGTGTGTTGGGGTGTGGGTGCCACGTTGTGTCAGTTGCCATATCTCAAGGGAGCCTGTCAGAAACTGGCTGAAATGGCACGGTTCCTTGTCCAGATCCCATCGCCAGAATAGCAGCTCTTCCCAACATGTGACCACAACTTTGCCCAGAGAAATCACAGTGGTCCCCTTTTGTTCAGACAGTGGGATGGGCGCATTCAGGTTTCAGAAAGGAGCTGATGTGTCGTAACCGTCCAGTTGATTGAGGGCGTCAGGTAGCCCTGCCGAGAGCAGGGGCCTGGGAGTCTTGGCCGGGCGCCACCTGGGGGCGTTCTTCTCTCCTGTTAACACAGACGGCAGAAGAGGGGGTCTCGTGTATGCTCTCAGGGTTCAGTGATCCCTGCAGGAGCTTCTGCAGCTGGTCAGATCTGAACTCCTGGTCCCGAGGCTTTGAGGACGGGACTAACGTGGCCTGGCTTTTCCTTACATGGCAGATTTATCACCAGACGTGGCCTCAAAGTCTGTGCCGACCCCAAAGTCGAGTGGGTGAAGAAAGCAGTGGAAACCATGGACAACAAAAGAGACACCAACCAGAGCAAGCCCGCGGGGACCCAGCAGCCCACCAGCACCGCGGTGGCCCGGGCTCGGTAGTGGGTTTGTCTGGCCGATTTCTGTTTACAAGCTCATGGACTCATTAAATTACACCCACCTTTTCTGAACGTACTGCCTGTGCCAGATTATTTTCTTGTATTTTTATTTTTTATATCTTTATTATTCACTTAGCTGCTCTAATTAATAAATATTTATTACTAGGAATCGTCCCAAAGTCTGTTCATTGTGTATTGGGGTGGGTGGCATGTCATTTACGTTCTGTTTCTGTCCCAACTGTATCTCCCCCCACAATGGTGTCTGTGATGGGCGGGGAGTCGGGGCAGTTTTTGCGAGAGGTGAAAGCTATAGTTCTCTGCCCACAAGCCACAGGTGACCCCCGCCTTCACGGTGGGGTTCTCTTTGTGGAATAAGGGGAAACTCCAGCTGTCATGTGGTTCCCCTTCTGAGGGGCCACCGCTTAAAGAGCGGCTTCACTCTCGTGGGACTTGGAGAAGAGTCTCTTCTTTCTGTTTCATTTGATCTCATAGAGAAGGAAAAAAAAGGCAGGCTTGTCAGTTGCTTTATCTGTCAGGGTAGCTTAGGTTGGACGTTTGGTGCAAAGATGTTTTATTCAGATAAAAGCCAATGCTGTCCGGCTAGGCGGTGGTCCTGCTGTCTTTCTGTGGCTTCTGTAACCGTCACCTACTTTACTTGTCATCCGAGTCATGCTTTTCTGCTTTTCTCACCCTAACTCTGTCACCTGGAACGTTTCTTGAACGTGATCATGATTAGCAGTGAAGTTTTAGTTGGGTGTTCTTCTGGCCACTTAACACCCAGACTCATACTGTGTCATATTGTCGTTAACTGGTGACTTGACTCACATTCGTGGCTCTGCTCTCCGAGGAGCTGGTGATGTACGTATGTCCAGTTCCATCTGACTCTTAATAGTAAGGCCGGTCCAGGCCTTGACGGTCTCGGGGGAAGACAGAGTCCTGACTGATGTCCAGTCCTCGGCAATGTCAAGGTCTCCCAGAGGGTAACTGAGGGCAGCTCGCTTCCAGTTACCCAGCCAGGGACCAGAGCGGAAACCCTGCAGACCTGCCTCCTGGCCAAATACGGCTTCCACCTTTCCTCAGTGCCATTTGCCCGCCGTAATCTCCAAATCTGGTCTTAAAACAAATACTGAGACTAAAAGAACTTGCTCTGTGGAAGTGGTGGGGGACACAGCAAAGCCGTAGGAGACGAGGGTTACGGTTTCCTGATCGAACGCACATCTGTGTTTCTCAAACGTCTCCCGGACCTTGGAGGCTTCCAGGAGGTGATAATTTGATGAGGTACGTGGAAGGGGACAGGTGCGCACACCTTGTGAACTTACCTGGTATTGAAGGTGGCGTGTGTGACCCCTGGGACTTCTAACCGCATAGTGAATGTGACTTTGAACTAAGTAACTGGAGGTTTTGAATTCGTTTAGGTAGGACCTGAGTCTGCTAATCATACCCATGAGGGTTACTGGGTTTCAGTTCCATTCAAAGAGACAATCTAGGATTGTACGTATAGTTGTTGTAATGGCCTCGGCCCCTCCCTGGTATGTCTGTGTCATCTCCTGCTTCCCTTTGACCCGAGACACACCAGTTTGCAGCGAAGTTGCTCCTTGGCCTGTCCGGGCTCCTCATGGCCCCCTGCAGTCAGACTGGAAGCTGCTTGTTCCTTCATTTTTCTGTAGCCATCCTTTTTTATTAAGTTTATTGGGGTAACCTTGGTTAATCACGGTACATGAACTTTAGGCGCACGTTCTTATCATGTGGCGCCCGTGTACTGTGTGGCGTCTGGTCTCCTTCCATCTCCGAGTGTTTGACCCCCTTTCCCATCTTCCCTGCCCCCGGGACCCGCCGTACTGTTTTCTGTATCTGTGAGCTTGTTTTTATTTTTCAGCTTGCTGCTTTTTGTTTTATATCCCACATGAGTGAAATCAGATGATTCTTGCCCTTTTCTGCCCGACTTATTTCACTGAGCATGACGGTCTCAAGATCCATCCGTGTTGTTGTTGCAAATGGAGGTATTTCATCTTGTTCATGGCTGAGTAGTATTCCACTGTATCTATGTACCACATCTTCACCCAGTCGTCTGCTGAAAGACACTTAGGTTGTCTCTTATGTCTCAGGTATTGTGGATAATACTGCGATGAACTAGGGGATACATATATCTTTAGGAATACGTGTTTTCAAATTTTGGGGACTTGTGTATATTATTTATGTCACCTCCCCAGTGTCCAGTATAGACTGGGGGGGTGGTTCTTATTTGTTAGATAAATGGGAGAAAGAACATTTCACATGATTTCCTTTATTCTATTCTTTATTTCTCAAGTTATATATAACACAGAATAAACTGTGTGGATCACAGGTTTGATTCAGCAGACATTTTTCAGTCCTTTATGTGGGACAGGTTCCGTGTCATGCTCAGGCAAACCGAGAGAAGTGAAATGCCATTTCTGCCCTCCGGGAACTCGGAGACGAGACCGAGATGTAAACCAGCCGATGGCACCGGGGAGGAGAGGACACAGACGTGTCCCCATGACAGAAAACACAGAGAGCAGGACGACCGACCATATCGGAATGTTCTCTACAGGGAGTTCCGAGTTTATACGCAATTCTGAATTATTTTTATTAATGGAGATGCCTGGAAGCTGTGCTCTTAGTTGATGTACTTGTAGAAGATGTCGCTCCATATTTTCTGTCGTGACCAGGAGGTCCCCCCACTGTGATTGTATGGATGTCGTATTTTATTCTCTGGTTTGATACGATGACACTGTCACTATGATGAAATCTTTGAGAAGACTGAGCAGGAGCGAGACAGACTCAGTGAAGAGCATGAGGTCGCTGGTCTCAGCCTGGTCTCAGGCACGGACGTCCCCCAACGTTCCCCGATGTCCCCCAAAGTCCTGGCCTCATGAAGCTGAGTGATGGTGTCGGGGTCTCTCTTCCCAGGACATCGTACCTGGGACTTCCCTGAGCCCAGGTGCATCCTGTCAGGGTCTTACAAGTTTGAAGATAAATTAAAAGTATTTGAAGACCATCATGGGTACTTCCCATTCATTTTTTTCTGCGCAGTTATTATAAACGTGTTTTTATTTTATCAAAGGAATACGTGAGCATGGTCAGAAGTTTAAATGGCACAGAAGGGTTCCTGTGAGCACCGAGAACCCCCTTCCCGTCCATCCCACTGTCCCCCCTCATGGCTGCCTCCCTCTCGGAGCTTCCGGTTCTCCTGGCAGTCACTGTCATGTGCCAATATTCGTGGGGAAACCTGTATTTCCTGGGTTGTCAGTTTTGGACGTTACCCGTCGTGACACACTCAGCCCCAGCCACCTTCCACCCCGTCTGTGGAATTGTGTGGCTATTTTCAGTTGGTTGCGTGCGGAGCTTTCTGTAACATTTCCTATCATCTACTTCTTCTGTCAACTACACGCAGCAGTTCTCAGGTTTCCATCTCGTGGGACTGTTGTATTTCCTCCAGCAAACACTCCCGTGGTCTTGACTCCATAACCCGCACTGTTTCATTGCTTTGCAAACGTTGAGACGTTTAATCACCTTAACAGGCCTGTCAATGGCAGACAAAACGACTCAGGATGACGAGGCACTGGGTTGCGAGGGGCGCAGCTCAGGTCTGAGCCCGGGGCAGGGTGGCCCCCGTGCCGCTGCTGCCCCCAGGGACAGAACCTGGCTCCCTCAAGACCCACGAAGACAGCTCAGGCCTACGTGTGATCTCCACGCACAGCCGTGAACCGAGCAACGTCCCTGCTTCCACGGGGCGTCCATCCCGGTAAAACGTGCCCTCTCTCTTTCCCCAGGACTCCATCTCCTCCCTCGGCCAAGAGGTGCTTATTGGGAGCCCGATGCAGCCCGTGCAGACGCCTCTGTGGATCCTGGGGTGCAGTGGGGGGCTGGATGTCGTCCCTCCCCTCAGGGAGCTCACACCTGTAAGTAGACAATTGCCACGGAGTGTCACCTGCGCGATGATTGCGAAGTGGGGCGGCTGCGAGGTGTGGATGCGCAGCGCTGCCCCCACACTGCTCTGAGTGTGTGCACGGGGTCAGGGCACGTCGGAGCCATTCAGGGGGTCCCAGTGCGTTCCAGGTGAAGGGGGTGCCACACGCGGAAAGGCCTGCAGGCAGGAGAGTTCGGATGTGCGAGGAAATGCCAAGTGCAGTTGACCCTTGAACAACGCAGGGGTGGGGGGCACTGACCGCCAGGCAGTCGGAAATCCGAGGGCGACTTTGGGCTCCCTTCACACTTACCTGCCAGCAGCCTCCTCTTGACCGGAGCCGGCTAACACGTGACTTGTACATCACACATATCCTGCCCTGTGTTCTTACAAGAAAGCAAACTGGAGAACGGAGAACGTTGAGAAAATTGTGAGGAGGCCGCACTGACAGTACTTGCCGATAAAAGTCCACGTGTAAGTGGGCCTGTGATGTCCAAACTCGTGTTTTTCAAGGGCCAGCTGTGGTTTCTCGTGGCCGAGGGACAGGCCGAAGGCGGGACGAAGGAGGGAGCGTGGAGCGAGGGAGGGGCCGTCACTGGGCCTCCCTCTGCCGGGCCAGGGTGTGTGGGTTTCGTGGGAAAGGTTGTGCGGAAGGAGACCAGTTGGCTGTTGGGGCTCGGAGACTGAGAGGGGGCTGGGAAGCCCGTTCCCGGTGGCTCTGGGCCTGTGGACTTGAACTTGGCCTGGCCTGGTGTGGCAAGGATCCTCCTGTCCTCCTGGGTTTTTCCGCTTGGCCAGGGCTCACGTTCATGTGCGTGATGGCCCAGCTTGGGGTGAGGGCCAGGGTTTCGGGCAGTGACCTCGCTCACTGGTGCCTTGGCAGTGGGGAGCCAGGGCTGGGAAGGGAGAGCACTGCCCTGTGGGAAGCGCCATGGTTTTTGCCTTGTTGATTGGTGAAGCCAAGTTGGATCCGTGGGGCCAAGACCGGAGCCGGCCACCAGGAGGATGGAGGAGGCACAGGTGAGACGGAGGGAACAGGGTGTTGGAGGCTCGAGGACCAGCCTCTGCTGACTCACTTAGTCCCCTGAGTCTTTGGGGGACATCGTCTGCCGTCAGGAAGTCCGTGACCGTGGGGAGAAAGTGCTGTCGCCAGGGCCGCTCTCCTGTGGCTGTTCCAAAGGGCTCTGCTCAGGGCACCTCTTCTCAGGGACCTTTCCGACACCCCCGCCTGGGTG